CCAAACAGGGCGCCGGGTTGAAATTCCACATTTGAAGAGAAAAAACATTGAAATAAATAATTATTTAACACCAAAGCTGCTGAAACTGTTTAACAAGCTCAGTCTGCTACTTACCTGACAGATCAATATCTCAGAGTTTAACTGACTTGATGCATTTTTTGATTAACAAAAACTTTTAATCAGAAACTGAATGAAAATAAAACAGTAATTAAGTCTCTTTATTTATTTCAAGACATGAGAACAAATCCAACTGCAGCTGCATCAAAGTGTTTTAAGTACAATTCTGGGAATGATGATAAAAGGAGCCTTAAAGAAAAAAACCCTGGTCAGTGACCTCGTCACTATTTTGTTAACGAGCAGCATCTCAGTGAAATATTTCTCTGTAAAATCCGCACAGTGACACTAAAGTGCGTGAATTAGCTCGTGGCAGTTTTATTGGCTCAGCTGGAGAGAATCTGGTTTTGCTTGATGAAGTTAAAAGTTGAACACGCTGTAGACGGGCCGTCACAACAAAAGAAAAAAAACCCTCCCTCCATGAGGCTACAGGGAGCACCTGACATAACAAACACAGTCAAACTGTACAAACAGCAGTTTCAGGTTTTCAGTGGCTGTGAGTGATGCAGACATGGCTGCAGCGTCAGTGTTCTCAGCCCAGCGTGATCTCCGACGACTCTTTGGCGTCGATCACTCTGAACACTCCCACTTTCGCCTTCTTCGTGGCGTCCTTTCCTTTGTCTGAAAAATGCAAAAAACAGAAACTGTCACGTTTCTTGTCTCACGAGTTAAACTGGTTTTAACAAAAGAGTCGCGATGAATCAGACGGGCTTGTGTGTCTTGAGCAACGCTAAATCCGACTCCCGTGAACGTCACATATTTTGTGGTTAAAGGACATCGCAGGTGCACTCGTCATAAAACGAGGCTACGATTGAATCGTCACTTGGGTTTTGTACTGATGAAACGATGTGTTTCCTCACCCAGCAAGTCGCTGCGATCGAGCAGAACCTCCAGGTCCTTGTCGCTGATGACGTTCCCTTTCGAAGCTTTAACCTCCCTGAGTGGGACAAACATTACAGCCAAGATTAGCCTCCAGTTCCAAGGCTCATCCACTTTGATTCGGAGGTCAGTGCTTACTTCTCAGTGCCTCGAGCTTTGAGCAGCTCCCGCAGCTCATCCAGATCAATGCAGCTTTTATTCTGGTTCAGCTCCGCCTTCCCACCTTTAAATTTGTCTGTGGAGGAAAGACACCATCGACCACATGTCAAAACATTTCAGCACAATGAACTGAAACAGCTGTGAACAGCTGCAATCCCATCACGGCGAAGACACTCACTCTTGTGGATGACCATCTGCTCCAGCTTCCTCTTGGCAGACGCCCTCTCCAGGATCTTCTGGTCGATGGTGTTGGCTGTGACCAGGCGGTACACCACGACTGGTTTGGTCTGTCCTATGCGGTGACAGCGGTCCTGAGCTTGCAGGTCTGCCTGCGGGTTCTTGAGAGATGACAGAAGCATCAAACATGGACTCAATGAGATACGTACGACAAACAGCTGTTGTAGATTCGTCATCAGCACCGACCCAGTCGCTGTCAAAGATGATGACGGTGTCAGCAGCTGTCAGGTTGATTCCCAGTCCTCCTGCTCGGGTGCTCAACAGGAAGATGAACACCTCGGGATCTTTGGAAAACCTGCCCATCTTTCAGAGACAAGAACGACAAGAATGACTCAACAATCTACTCAGAGGCAGTTTGGGTGCTGACTCTGGAGTTAAGAGAATATTGCACCATCAAGTTAAAAATGTGCTTTTTATGCACGAGGTTGTTACCTTTGTAACATGTTCACAATCTAAGGCTACGCAGATTTTTCTATGTGTTTGCACCTTTCGTCCTCACGTAAACGGCGTTTTTGGTCACTAAAAACTGAGATTTTTAAAAACTCAGTTTGTGCATTTACGTGTGGACGAGAAAAAAGCAGAAAACGCAGAAAACGCAGCGTCAAAGGTGTGCGC